TTTGAGTGCTTTCTATTTAGCAACACAAATCAACATAAGTATTATACTGTCTTCTTTGGCAGTTAACTTCAATGAGTAACAAAGACATTAGTGTTGACTGTTTGTATATATGGGCAACTTAACCCGTGACATGTACCAATTTACCCCACTATCGGGGCAAGCTGGCTGCAATGCAGCGTGTTCGTATTTCACTTACTAAAGAAACTATACAGGATGATTCCTAGCATGAAAATGTAGAAAAAGGTTCTTTCTATCATATTAGCATAATTTAATCATAACAATCAGTCATTTAAAGAACTTAATACCTAAAACTGTGAAAGCTGTGCCAACGAGACCCGGTCTCCCCTACTACTGTTGCTGCTCCAAATGTAATGATATATCCACTGTAAAATCTTTCTCTTTTGAATTGTAAATATAATCATTTTAAAAATAGCTTAAAATTAATATTAAAGAAAGAAACACAAATATATAACACCTGCTAATTTTAAAAACATACGTTTTTAAATTTAAAGCTACGTTTTAAAAACATTGATCATGTCAAAAAAGAATTAAACTTAAAATTCAAAAGATATATTAAGTTGTAATATCTAATAACATATTCTAAATTAATTTAGCATTTAATATATATTAAAAAATTAAAAATTGTTAGTCTTTTAGAGCAAAGAAATTTTTACTCACACATAGTACAATGTTGAAAAATGATAATTATATATGAATTTCCTCAGACATTCAAGATTTGTCTATTAGCCAATGACAGATACACATTAATTGTATTAACGACTTATTCCTTATGAGATTTGTTGCACAATTCAAGTTGAATGAATCGCCACTGAAGATTTAAATGAGCTACCAGAAAGCGGAGTGCCACATAGCTGTGTCGATATTGCACCAACCTAAATTGCGCCAATATTTGAACCGTAGAAGTCATTACAAGCTGATGAAAATTTTTATACATTTATACTGATTAATGGTCGATGGATGTTTAGAAAAAGGAATGCTTATTCGTTTGAATAAACGACTGTCCAAAGTGACGTATCTCGAGTATGCTCGTAAACTTTCTGAAATAAGAATCACACAGCGTGCGTTTCAAGTAAAAAAAATCCCTAAACTCTACCGCTTTAATTTTATTGCCACGATTATCATACTAATTAAGATCAGGGTCAAGTACTTTGACACTCACATGAAAATATCGCGATGTGAGAATGTAATTAAAAGGAAAAATGTTAGAGCGGGAGAGACGCAGAGCAATACATGAATGTGTCGACACTTCCCTTAGCTAATTATTAAGGATGTTTGCACCACCCGAGATTAATGTGTTAGGTATCAGCACGAACTCATAGTCTTACCGAGACATTATCGACTCGAGAGAAAGGAGGCTGCTGTGAAATACCTTTTAAATTAAATCAGCATCCAAAATCAGAATTACTAATTAACATTGCGATTATTATCGGTTTTCCGTCCATTTTTTCTCTTGAAAGTTTATTAACATATAATTATATACCTTTGATATTTCTGACAATGAGTCACATAATATTTCGACATATTTTCAGTTTATGTAAATATCTGTTGCTCTAAATAAATATCCTGAATAATATATAATTTTTCTTAATTTTTTATTAGAATCGATATTTATGTAAAACATAATAATTTTAGTTACGTACTAATATAGCGCAAAATTTTTATATTTTACATTACTATAAATTTTACTCGTCAACGTAATAAAAAATTCTTTAAATAATTTTTGTGCCAATTTATTTATGTCAATCTTTTTTTCAACAAAGTTTAAATTAATGATAGCTGAAACAGATCATAAGGAAATGCACTTACGAGTTTATTGCAAACTCAATCATAGTAATCTAATGATTATAACTATTCGTATTTCATGTAAAAATACAGGAACATGCTTGAAATCGAGCATGTACATATTATGAAATAGCTTCATTTACTTTTCATCCGTATAAGAAACATTCTTGCGATGGCAAAGCAGTGCAGGGAGCAACTGCAATAGATCGTTTATGAGTTCGTCAGAAAGGCGAATTAAGTGCCTTCATGCTGTTATAAGAACCGTGAACCTGTCAGTCCGGAGATGATTCGTAAGATATAACCCTTTGTTATTTTGATAGTAACAGATTACTAAATCCAATAATAACAGTTTAGATATGAGATCATTGCGTTAATCAAGCATAATTGGATTTAGCGTAACTTGGAATTTGCGTCAATCCAAGATCGATCAATCTGATTTGACTCAATACGCATGACTGAGGTTGCAACAGCAACTATCACCATGTCGCTGGTAAATACACACAGAACATTACTGATATAATCCAAGTATAGGCTTAATATGTACGATTTAGTATGACTACTTTCACGTTTCTACTGATTACCATCTTACTTATCATGACGCGAATACTGGATTACTCGTAGAATTCCATTTTCAAAAGGTAATTAGTAGTTACGAAGCCATTTTTTAAGCAACCACTACGAGAGCATAACTAATTCCAAAACAAATTTACGGATTCTTTCTATCAATTTTTAAAGTTGTAATAGATCTAATGCGATTTGTTCCATTTCATTTTCAGCGTCTCTAAGCTTAATGAGGATACAGATTAAGACATGTGAATACCTAGTGATGAATAACGTGTTCATAACCTCTTGTAGCTTAACGAAAAACATCCGGAGATCTCTCTTCTTCTAGTAGTCGAGAATGATTAACGATATTCAAAACAAAATCTTCCCGACTTCAAAATAATAAGGCTTGCTAAATCGCGGAAATGCAGAAACCGGTTCGTTCGAATGATAGGCAGTTTCTCGGTATCCTCTTCCTCCTACATTTTTGCACGAAATCTCATGCTGTAGATTGCTTTATGCATTTCTCAAAATACGTAATTTCGTTTTATTTACCTTCTTCTCTTAAAAATTTAAATTTTAACTTATATCTATTGATTAACGGATATCAAAGGTATAAGTATGTAATAAAAAAATTAATAACTTTTCAACAGAATAAAACATTTAATTATAAATTATTAACCTAAAACAATACCGCCATTAGGGCCATTTACTAGTGCACATATCTACTTTACGACATTGATGCACGATCATGAAAGCGACCCGAGTACTTCAAGCTTATGAATTAGATTGGCGCCTTCGTAGCTATGCATTAAGCAATATAAAACGTATAACTCGGGAGGATTGTCGAAGCTTTCGAAACATGCGAACGAATTATTTCCAACAACCAAGGATAATGATCCCGGGTGCAGTAATGATTCATCTAGGACAGCGACTGACCGGCAAGGTGCAATAGACAATGAATCAAACTGCAGGTTTGTTTCACGACCTAACACTATAAAGCGAGAATATTCTTTTTAAAAAATCTATTTAACAAGACCGGATATTCTTCATAATCTTTTCAAACGTGAGAAAATCTTGAATATTGACATGCACAGACATTCATCATAATGAAAAACGACAGACATTAGGTACATTTATTACTTCATTATACATATGTAGCACATTCAACTGTTTTTGTCAATTAAAAGTAAGTAAATTTATCTTTTTATATAGTATATAATTTGTCATCATTTGCTATTTGTTGCATTACGTAAGATTTCCGTGACACATTTAAAAAGATCTGAAAATAGCATGCGTTAAATAAAAACGTGCTTTGTGAGTTGTATTTTCTCACGCGAATGTATGTATATATCGTTTCAGTGAGAGTAATAATGACGATTTAAACGGTAAATAAAAGAACTCGTAAAAATTTTATAGTCTATCTTTCATCACTTCCCGGTTATATTGGCGATTAATCATAGAATAGCATTCGATAATGAGTGGTTGCTTTGGTAATGACACTAACATTGTGGCTAACTATACGATTGACGACTCATCGACCATGTAATCGATAGTGTGGAACACTATGCCTGTAATTTTGCACACGTCATTATATTTTCGCGTATTTGCTTTCCGTTTCACCAATTATTTCAATTCACTAATTGGAAACAGTTATATAAAATCCTGTCCAAATCAATATTTAAAAACGATGAAGTTGAAGATCGTTTATTAATTGTAAAACGAATTTCATCGAGCTTTTCCTTTTCTTTCAGATTATATCGATAATCGAATTGTTGATAATAAATGCGTATGTAATAAAAGTTTACGATATGTCAATATCAGACTTACTCCTAAATCTAATAACTTATTGAGTAATTTGCAGTAAATCGATCTTACTATGCTGATTAGAGAGAAAAGCAATCGCAAATAACGTATAACGCAAGATTTAATGTTAAATTAGTAGCGATCACAAACTAAAACGTAAACTAAAATTATTGCTTAAATATATGAAGTTATTATCGAATTGTCTAACTATCTATGCATCTTTCTATGTTGAAAATAAATTTTCCTTATTTTATCATATCATTTTAGAGATCAAAATGCAACATATTTTATCCTATTCCCAATCATTATGTAACATTTAAAAAAGATTTTTTAAATATTTATTTAATATTTTTACACACACACATTAAATAATTTTTTTTTAAATGTTTAGAAGCATTGTCTGCTAATTGGATTGTTTCACATCTACATTATTCAATTACAACAAAAATTCTTAATAATCACATTACTACAATTTTTTTTACTAGATACATCGAAAGAAACTAAAACTTTTAATTACAAAAAATAAAGATTTATCAATAAATTCTTTTGACTATGTATCTATGCATATTCTATTGCATTTACAGTCTGCAGAATCGCCTTACACATTTTTGTTTCGGAGCAATTAGAAATAATATTTTTTATTATTTTGAAATTAAAAGTCGGTAAATGTAAGTGCCACAAAATTTAATGATTCTCCGTGATGTTTCATGGTACGTCCAGCGACGTGTATGAGAACCGTGTAGAATCCCCTCTTTCAGAAGAGGTGCTTTCGTGCGCACGTATAAAGTCAGTGAAAGCGCCAGGCGGCCCTCCAGACTACCGCACCGTCCGACAGCGATAGGAGCTCTGCCGACAAACCGTACGGCAGACATAGATTAACACTTGAGAATCTCTCGCGTAAGTTCGAACGTTGAAATAGAACAATTTTGAAAATTTACCGCGTCGTGCAGTTCGCCGTCCACGTGTTCGCGAAATTTCCTGTTACCTCTATTGATTGTGATTAGGATAGCTTAGACTAGGAGTGATCATGAGGATGCATTTCGTTGGAATCTTGGCGATCCTACTATTCGCCGATACTCAGATTTTAGGACATCCCTCACAGGAAAGATTAATGCCAGGTATGTGATATTTTTAACATGTTATGTGTGCATGATTTGTCATTTTCTGCTGTTTTACGTAAGCTTTACATTTTTAATTATTTTTCTAATTATTCCAAGTAGAACATTATTGTACGTATCAATTAAAAAATTATATATAGTGTATATAATATATATTATATAGTACATACACATATATATATTGTGAAATACATTGTATATATTTTATAATATATTGTATGTATAAAAAAATTTGAAATAATCGTAATAACAATTTAAGATGTACGATAATTTGAAAGATATACTATATACGAGAATACCGGACTATTCATATACGTTTTATGAAAAATCAATAAGAATTCCAAGCATTATATATTATATTAATTTGTTATCAATTAATACTAATTGTTAAATTCGTATAACAAATCAAACTAACTAAGACTCCTTATAAATCAAATTCTGGCATTGAAATTCTCGATGTAAGGGAGCTCACCATGACAGGATAACTTTTACTTTATATATATTAGTTTGTGTTTGCTCTGAACCCGTATTCTTTCCAATTCTTTGACTAATTGTTAATATATAATTTATTAATATTCTTGAGACTTCCACGGGTGCTTTCTATATAAAGGTTATGCGTTTCGTGGGTTTCCTCCGTGATCCATTCTTGAAATGCCTATTCAAGGATCTAGACACGGAGGAAACCCGCGCGAAACGCATAACCTTTATATAATTTATTAGTATATTCATGTGAATAATAATAAAAAAATATAAGTCAGAGAAAAAAAGTGATGCCTCTATTTCACCAGTCATATTACAAGGTATATTAACAATTAAAAGGCAAGCTACAATAATTTTCAATCATTTTTTATCGAGATAATATAAAGTTAAACTTTACATCACATGCAATAAGACGTGTTCAAAAACATTATTCGTTTTTTTACAAACATGTCATTGTATAACTATATTCAATCTAAATTTAAACATTTTTAACAACAGAGAATAACTTATCTATTCATATTATTTTCTTTTAATTAAATGTATCGTTTTACTCTAAAGTTTGTGAGAAATTTAATAAAAATAATGCAACTTGTGCAATACATTTTTCAAGTGTTATCTTTTATAGGCAAAAAACTTATTAAAATATTATTAAAATATTCAAAAGTTTAAACAATTAACATTAACAATATAATATACATTAACAATATAATATAATTAACATTAATTTTAAAAAAATTACAGCTATAATTTTTTTACATAAATTATTATAACTGAAAAAATATGAAATTCTGACTACTGAGATTCTGCAACAGTTATGAAATATTTTCTTTCGTGCAGCTTATGCTATTATTGTGAAGATGAGAAAATACTGCAATTTCATCATAATTCTTCGCGAATAGTGATCTTAGTTGTTCCCGCTACTGCGCACTATCTTTCTTTCCATTTCTATCATAGTTATTACATCTGGCTTTATCCCGCATAATTATGTCTCCACCCTCTCTCTATCCTTCATGAAAGTAGAACACTTCCTTCTACAGATGCTAATTCTGATAACCTCAGAGAGTATGCTGTCTCTCTAGGACGTGACAGCGCTCAAAACTGCTGCAATCTGCTGAATGTAGATTTCTCGCTTCTGCCACTATCCCGCAAGCGAACTTTTCAACATCATTCTCTTATTGCTTCGTATCCAGGGCTCTGACATTTGTCGAATAAACATTGGTAAAATGGTTATTACAACACGTGTCACTTTGAATGTATGGGAAGCCGCGAAAAGGCATGTAAACGGCTGTCTGTATAAGCACGTGAGTCTGGCTCGTCGCGAACTACACTCACGAGATTCGCCGCCTACACGTTAGCTACATACTCGTCGTAGCTGCATGTGAATACCGCGATCTACAAGGACTACAACTTTGCTGCATTTTTGTTAGAAACACTGACAAAAAGAAGCAGGGTCGGCAGATAAAGCGGGATTTGTACTTGTGATCAGAAAATACCGTTTTATAATCAATTTAAGCATTTCCTAAGAGAAAAAATTTAATCCAAAAATACTTCTCAACTTTTTGTAGAAAATATGTATTCAGTGATAATTGAATTATTAAATAATTAAGTAATGAAGGGATATTAATCTCTCAAATATCAAATGATAATTCAAAGGTCAAAATACATTCTGCATTTATAATGAATATTAAGATATATGACAAAAGAATGTCAAATTTAATAAGCTTGATAAATATTCATTTATAAAATTGATTACACTGCGCATGTATTTGATATTTAATATTCATTTTTTGAATAGGTTGTTTCTTCATTCTGTTTACATTTATTTCATCAATATAATATCGATTTTTTTATAACTTCATAATATTTAACTAATCATTTTACTTAATTTCCAATTTAAAATTTCGATAAAACATAGTTCACATAATGTTAAATTACAAACAAAATTTTAACTATTTATATTTCTGAAATATTTAATTCAATTAAAATTTGTTCAATATTTTAGATTCGCAACTTAAAAGCACAACTTAGAAGTTTTTAATATTTATCTATAAAAAAGTCCAATTTTAGATTAAATAAAAAATCTTTGAAAGAATTAAAGAGTATATATAGAAAATATGAAAGATTCGATTTATATGCATATATTTTTGCAAATTAATTTTATAATAGGATTAATTCCTTTTCTAGTAGCTATGTTGCAAACGCGATCTCGCAATCATCTAATAATTGTAGCATTCACACCTACACGCGTATCATAGAATCAATGCCGTTACATAGACACTACTAGGGCATGAACGATAATAACAATTCCTATATATCCGTACGCAGGAGCCAATATCACGTGCTGCACGTGATTACACGTGCTTTTGCACGTGCCAGTTATTGCCGATCAATGCGAACATGAGAAAGACGAAGAAAGAGAGCTACGCTTGTACTCCTTTCCTCGTACGAATTAATACCATCGAGGGAAAAGTCCGACCGAGTCACGTGCATGCGTTAGCCGCTCGCCTCGAATCACGCGACCGTTCAGTCTGTCAATTATCGTTCGTGCGACGTCTTCTCGACCACCTCCGTCTGTTCACCGCTGGTCCCTGGCAAGGTCGCGACAAAACTCGTTCATATCGCAAAGCTTTCGATTCTCAGAAATCGCGCGACATCGTCCCTTGTACCGCAAAAATGCAACTTGTAACAATATCATATAATAAATTACACGTCACTTGCAATTATATATTCAAGTCATCCTTAAAAAAATTGCATGATGCATCCTTATTTTTAGTTCTATTAAAAATCTAAAGAATATTTCATCTTTTTATCTCTTACATTTTATCTCTTTTAACATAACAATCTACCTATTTATGATGGAAAAAGGTGCGAATGAAAGTAAATCTTTTGGGAAGAATAAAATTCTATAATACCGACACTTTGACATTGACACTGCGTTAATTAACCTTGTATAAGCAATTAACTAGTTGTAAAACAAGTAAAGAATCGCACGTCGTTGAACCTTTAAACTACTAGTAAAGACGGAGAAAGTGTGAGAAATTCAGGTGAGATTGCAATGTATCGAATAATGACATTCTCGCGGCAAAAAATGGAGCGGCAACATGCCTGTCATTGACACTGATTCGTTTTCTCGTATCTAGTGTGCTAATATAAGGAGAGCCGCGAGTTGAATTTATAATAGGCAGCTCTCATAAGGTGCCCAGAGAAAATTAACTAGCGCATGACTAATCCCAGCACAATATTCATACATTCTGAAATATTGGAATGTTTCATTTAAATTGCTCGATGACTGCGACTTCCGCTAGTATTATCATTCTAAGCACTTTCTCCGTTCGCAAAGTATAAAGAAATAAAATATTGTTGCACGGTTAAGAATTATAATTTTTATAATGTTCTTTCGTATTTATGGCATTACTTACTGAAAGCACTGAAGGAGCCATCAGCCAAACAGCGGATTTATTACATATTAAATTATTTCTAATATTTATTACATATTAAAGTCGCACGGTAATACTGCGTACATAAATAATGCGTCATTATTTAACCTCGAGAACTAAAAAAATAGACCGTTAAAATAAGAGTTGTAACACGTGCTGCAAAAATAACTTATGCAAGAAATTATCAGTGAAACGTGAGTATATATACAACAAAAGCGAGTAAACTGGCCTTAGTAGTCTGACCTTCCATTTACCAGAAGCATGACTTTGTCCTAGTATTAATAATTAAAGGATTGATTACCAAGATACGATTAGTAAAATAAAATTGTTAAACTTTTTAAATCATAAATTGACTGCTGTATTAATAATAAGCATGATAATTTAAATAATTAAACGCTTTGTGTGCATTACATACGTGTGAACAAAAACAAAATTTTCTTATATTTTTCAACATAAAATTTTTATGTACGCCCCTTAACGAATTCATTTATATTATAATTGAATTATTTAATCAATGATAATTAAATACATATATTTTAGTCCCTATTAATTAACAGACATAAAAACTTATCTAAAAGACAAATTAATGTAAAAATATAATAAATTTTAAAATATTAATTAGATCTAAAGAATAATTGTGGCTTTAGTGACGCTTTAGTATATACAAAAACTAATGATCATGATCGGCGGTTTTAATAAGTCACTTATATTTACTATCTTTCTTAATAATATCTAGAGAAATACATACAATTTCCTTAATTCAGTTTTCCACGATTCATGATCATGATTTAATACCCATGGGATTTTTAAAGCATCTGGCTAATACTATCGTTTACTTAATAGTGGCGATAAGTACGTGAATTTAAACGTCAACTTTCTACGATAGTAATCAATATTATTAATATCAACGTACGCGCCCACTGACAGATTTACGGTAATAGGAATATGTTAATTAAGTCGATACAGAAAGGACCTCCAAAGGACCGCGTGATTTAACTTAATTCGAGCAATTAACATTGTTAAACTGTCAATGCAACAACTGTACAGTGATTGATAGCGCATTTTAAAATGGAGACAGCGACT